ACACTAGTAGCTGATTGGCAACATATGGGATACCAAATACATTTTCATACGGAATATCTGTAAACCAAAAGCAAATCTTTCAAAGTTTAATAGTTTCAGAACCAGAATATGCTGAGCAAGAGTGGGAAGCCTCCTGCTCAGGCTGTCTGCAGACCCAGACAAGGAGCACTAACTCAGCTTATGGTAAATTATTGCTTTTCAGATTCAATCCCCTGACCTCAGATCTGCTGTTAAAATATGACAGGGGAAGGCAGTTACTCCAAGTATAAACAAGCTTTGTTTTAGTGATGGTTCTTGTTGTGGAGCCTAGGGCTGTCCTGCATCCTCAGAAATGTCATTTTCCCCCCACCATCCTACTCCCGGTAGCCCAAGCTGTTGTTTCTTTTTTTGCTAGCTGCAGCTTAAGTTGGTATTTTTAAAATCCCAGCCAGAGCTTCTTTGCTGCATGGCATGTCAGGGGCCCTGTCGCCTTTGGGGGCTACCATGTGCTGCTGGCCCCTGGGTGCCACATGAACAAAGCTGGTGGGTCCAGCTCATCTCCAGTGGGATGGAGGCCCAAAGCTGTGCTCTTTCAAAGCTCAGATGTGAGAAGAGCCAGGATGCACTGGGGATGTGGAGTCTTAGAGTCAAACGTGTGGGGCACCCCTTCCCCGGGCAGACACCTCTCGATGACTTCTCTTTCCTTTGTCTTCACACAGTGCATCTGGAGTGTGTTTTCTCTCTGCCCCAGTTTTTCTTCTGGGCTCAAGACAAAGTTCAGAGCTCCCCTTTCCTAGCCTTTATTTCCTCCCTGTTTTCAGTTAGGCATCTCTACTTATACAGAAGCACAGGCACTAAGATCTGCCTGCAACTGCAGTTCAAAGCCTGCATTTTGGAGGTGAGGGTATTCAACTTGCATTTGTGGGTTTCCATGTTCTCGAGTAGAGAAGACCATCAAACCCACTTCTTATGTACTGGATGAGTTCTCTAACCTTTAGCACCCCTCATATAACTTGGTGTTTATTGTTTGGTTTGGGTTTTTTTAATTAAAAAAGAAAGAAAATCTCTATCCCTGCACAATTTTATAAGTATAATATTGGTGTCTACCTCTGAAGAAAGTTATGGGCAATGGTTTTGGCCACTCCACCCTCAGATTATGGGTTATTATTACCCCCATTCTGAGATTTGTAACTCTTCCCCAAGCATGGGACAGGGAAACTAAGCCCATAACTGTGTTCCAAATACCACTCCTGAGACCTAAATGAAATATTGCAAAATATTTGTCTGCATGTTTTGCCTAGTTCTTACCACTGTCATTGGCCTTTACTTTAAATTATCTTTCTCTAGTCCTTGTAGTTACTGTTGAGATAAAAGTAGCCTTAAGGACATTAAGGAGTGTTTTAATTCACGACTCTAGTCTATTTGTGTTACCTTAATATTGAAGAAATAATGCTTATTGTGGGGTTTCTTTTTAATCAGGAAGGCAAAATATCAAAATCAAATGCAGACTGAGCCATGCTGCATTATTGCATAGGACCAGTAGATGGCAACCACCCATTGCAGTGTCAAAGGTAAGTGAGAGTTGTTCAGGTAGGGGATTTATTAGATGACAGTTTGAGCAGCAAAGCTCTGCTGCTCCACTCAAGAAGAAAGCAGTAGTGGTATTGTTCACTCCTTCTTCCACATGTCTTTTGGAAGGGAGCAGTAAGTTGCCCTTTTACATAGTAAGTTTTGACAAATTATAATTGTGACAATCCATTTGACTAAAATATCATATGGCTGCTCTTTGCTGCTAATATCAGTCAAAAATACCCCAAGACGGTGGGAAAAAAAATCCAAAGCAATCAGACTACCTTAACTTCCACAGGAATAGCCTTAAGTTCTTACAGTGATTAATTAGATTCATTATTACTTTTGGTGGAAGCAGTTAGAACTGAGTAGCAATGATCCTAGGATCAGAAATAGATTTCCATTTAGGAACTGACTGAGGCTGTTGTCATATTAGCTAATTAATTCTGGTTATATGAGTGGCCTTACAGAAATTTTTTGACATGATCAAGTTTGAAGAAATTCTATTTTTTTTTCTACAACATCAGATTAAAAATTATTTATTTCTAGGAGCAAGAACTGTAAAGGTTTGAAAAAATCCCATCCAAGAACCTTGTATTTACACTTCATAAAAGAAGTTCCTTCATTAAAACAGGAGAACAGTTGTGGAAATACATCTGTAACCTTGCTAGAAGGGTGTGCTGGTTTAGAGGTAAACCAGCAGGGGAAATGAACTCAACTCAGAAGAGAGATTATAAGTCAGAATAACAATTTAATAAAATAATACGATAAGTACGATTATACAGACAAACAATTGGTTTTAACCCACAAAAACCAAATGTATAACCCAGCACCCTGGGGCATGAACAGAGTGGTGTTCTTTGGGCCCCCTGAGTCCAAAGTAAAAGGAGAGAGTTGGTGAGAGTGCTGTTGCAGTCTGGTCAAGAGTGGTGATTGCAGTCTGGTCGAGAGTGATGGTTGCAGTCTGGTTGAAAAGTGGTGGTTGCGGTCCAGTCGAGAGTGGTGATCTGCAGTCTGGTTGAGAGCGGTGATCTGCAGTCTTCCTCTGGATCCCAGGAGTGGTTAAAAGAGTTCCAAGATTCCAAGATTATATATCTTCCAGTTCAGGCAGGAATGCCCAGTACTTCCCTCAGGGCAGGGAGTTCCACACAAGGTGTGGGGACAGAAACACCCTCCTATCTCGCAGGCCTCTTAACACCCAGTTTATAGCCTGAGGAGTCAGGCTGCTCTGGGCAGAGGGTGTAAATAGTCTATTGATAACAGTTTCTGGGAAATGGCATGGAAGGCTATAGAATACACAGTTTTGGGTTACATCCATCCAGTGATGAACTGGTCCCAGCTGTTCTAACTAGGACAAAGGGTACTTAACTATCTGTAGTAATATTAAGTTTTCTTTTGGCATTGATTTAACCATATTTTTTGCATTTGTTTTCAATAAGGATTGGTATACATAATACATGTGTGGATGTACCTAGAAGTAGAGTGTCTATAGTGCAGAAAAAAACAAGACCTTTAGACCTCCGAAGGATTCCAGCATAGCCTAACATTGTCATTAGCAATTTTAAAAAGAATACTCTACAAATAGCTAAACCAGCCAACAAGAAGAGTACTGTCACTTAGTAGAAGTAAACCAAAATACTCTGCATTACTGGCATGCCTCCTTCCAAGTTCTCAAACACTTTGCAAACCATTAACTTGAAATGCATTCACTTGCACCCTTGCAGTACAAGGTGTATGTTTATTCTCAGAACTCACACTTTTGCTAAGAAGGCTTGAAAAACCTACTTGAGAGATAAAGCACAACCTTTTGCTTTTTTTAGAGCTACAACTTGATCAGCTGTGAATTTCTATCAATGACTTTGAAATGAGGAGAAAACCAGCTGGGATCCATTCCTAGTGAATACAAGTGAGATGGCATTAGGAATAGCTTCTAAAATCCTTTTTGAAAACCACCAAACTTTTCTTGTTATCTCCTTAATCACATTATTTCCTTAATAACATTTATACTGTAAAAAAATATTCTTTAATCAGATTTGAGGGGGTTTTATGCTTTAAAGAACTTAAAGGCCTTCAACATGGAGGTAAAATTTGAGTAACTTTATTTGCCTTAGCATGAGAAATGATGTGACCTGTGTATGCTGCTTTTCATGTGGACCCATGAGTTTTGTTAAGGGTCCAAAGGTTATCTTGGACTCTTCTTGCAGAGAACTGGAAAGCCAGTGAGATGATTTTTTTTCAAAAAAGGCAAGGAAAGAGAAGTCTAAATGATTTAGAAGGAATTTTTAGACAAACAATAAAAATACTGCTCTGTTTATAGTCACGCTTTTTTTAGCTCAAATGTTTGAGGAGGACAGATAGTTTTAAAGATTCAAGGTCTGTTGTTGCCATGAAGGGCAGAGGAAGGTCTCACTCCTGTTTTCTGGTACTTATCACAACAGAAGTTTGCAAGAGACCACCAAGGACAGTAACTCTCCAGTAAAGTTTAGTTCAAAGGAATCCGTGTGGAAATTCCCTTCCGCTCAATACTTCATACATATCACAGATCACAAACTGCACCCTCATGCACTGTAACAATAGTCAGATTTACACCAGAACCCGCCTCAAAGTCTGGAATTTTATGTGTTAGATATCTATGTAGGTGTCAGAGGCATCTCCAAAAGCTTGTGCTGTGTTTCTCTCAGGTGTGCATTGAAATGTGTATTTGATGAGCTGTGACAAAGTGTTCTGAAGATCGAGGTCTGGTAAGAGTGTGCACACCTCATGTATGATGACAAAAAGGCCCTGGAAAATGTAATTACAGCCTTTTCACTCTTCTCCTCATGTACTGTCTAAAATTGGGAAAGCTCAAATTGCCCCCTACTACTGTGCAGAAAAACAGTCTCTGGGCTGTTTTTCGCAAAACATTTCTGTGTCTTTGATTGAGACACTGGAAATGTTTCTGGTTGAGCAAAGCCATAGTATGCTGGCTGGCAGACTTGTTTGTTTGATCCCGTTATAGTGGAGAAAGTTTGATTGAAATGAAATGAAAGTATGATTGAGTGCTGAAGCAGGTGCTTGAACATTGACTTTTAAACAAAGAATGAAGCACAGATTTGCATGGGGACTTTGCTTACCTGACCCTTATTTCAGATGCCATTTGAAGCATAATTTGAAGGAGAGATAACCAGGGACACAGTCCAGTAAGGTGCTGACTGATTCTGAGGTGGTGCTGGATTGCAGTGAGATTCAGAGATAATCAAACTTGGCAGAATCTGAACCATAATAAATTACCAAGATAAGATGGGTAATGAAAGAATGTGAAATGCAGAAGATAAGTTTATATGTCTTGACAACGTTCAGCGTGACTTTTGTAATTATTAACTAAACCTTAAAGCCTGAAATAGTCCTTATTCAAATGCCTTAGTCTTTTTTCATATTCTCTCCTAACAACAACATCTCCTCACATTTCCACAATGAGGGAAAGGAAGACAGCAGATCCACCTCATTCATCCACAAATCTGAGTGAAGGAAAGGAGAAGTTAAGACTGAAGCAAGAGGTCGGCCTGATTAGCGGAGTGTCATTAATTGCAGGCACAATGATAGGCTCGGGGATATTTATGTCCCCTGAGTGGGTACTACATCATATGGGGAACCCTGCCAGCAGCCTGCTTATCTGGGCAGCATGTGGTCTCCTGGCCGTGTTTGGAGCCTTGTCGTATGCTGAGCTTGGAACCATAATTAAAGAGTCTGGAGGAGAATATATTTACATTTTGAGGATTTTTGGTTCTTTTCCTGCTTTCCTTTTCGCCTACACTTCTGTCATCCTGGTGAGACCAGCTGGTTTGGCAGCTGTCTGTCTGAGCTTTGCAGAATACGCTGTTGCGCCGTTCTACCCAGGATGTTCCTCTCCACAGGTTGTCATCAAATGCACAGCTGCTGCCTGCATCCTGCTTTTAACTATCATCAACTGTCTCAATGTGAGGCTGGCGACATCTGTTATGAACATTTTTACAGCTGCCAAACTCATGGCTTTGTTGGTGATCGTGGTGGGTGGACTGGTGCTCCTTGCCAAGGGACAAACTCAGAGTTTTCAGAATGGTTTTCAAGGCACGAATGCGCGTATTGGGGCAGTTGGAGTGGCATTTTACCAGGGACTCTGGTCCTATGATGGGTGGAACAACCTGAACTATGTAACTGAAGAACTGAAGAAGCCTGAGGTGAGTGAATGAGATGGGCTTTACTTACTCAATGCTGCTGTTAATATGTTTGATTCTATCTATGAATCTTTTAAGAGGGGTAATCAGGGGATTTACAGTGAGGATGGTGAGGCACTGGCACCAGTTGCCTAGAGAAGTTGTGGATGCCCCATTCCTGGAAGTGCTCAAGGCCAAGTTAGATGGGGCTCTGAGCAACCTGGTGTAGTTGAAGGTGCCCCTGCTCATGGCATGGGGGTTGGAGCTAGATAATTTTTAAGGTCCCTTTCAATCCAAACCATCTTGTGATTCTATGAAAGCCCTAAAATACCCCATTGACTGCAAAAAAACTATTAGGCAGCACTTGGATGTTTTGGGGATGAAGTTTTGTCTTAGTGTTTAGACTGTAGACATCTAGATTTATTCAGAAAAGTACTCACTACTATAATCCATAAAGGATCCTCAACACCACATAAAAGACTTGATCCATAATGTATGCATCAGAAAACCACTTTATCTCTCCCCACTGCATGGAGGGGCAGCTTCGAACAAGCCAAGTCTTGCTGGAGAGAGAATCTAACTCTTTGAATGATCCTTGCCTTTAAACATCTACTTTTTTGGCATGCTATAGGCACTGAAGTAGCTTGCTTACATCTCACATGAGCCTTTTCTGTGCCATATTACCTATTTTCACAGATCAGACAGTACAGCAGTGAACAACTCTTATTTTGGAAAGAGCTGTGTTAGTGCAGAGTGTAGAGAATGTGCTTTCTACCAGTGCAGCACACAAGATCCTACAGATTAAATGAAAATACACAGTTAAATATTATCCTAAATGGCAGCAAAGATCGCAGGGTCACGTTGCACTGTCTCCCATAGGATCGTGAGCACTGATGCTCAGGCCCTTGCAGAGGACATTAGAAATTACTCTATCTTGTCCTATGGTGGGGTTGGGGAATGCAAAAATTGATATTTCAGGTTCTTAGATGTATACAGTTGCCTTTTCCCAGTATTTTCAATTGCATAAGACAGTGTTAGTTGATTTTATTGCGTCTTAAAATGATTCTGTGGTGTTCTAAGATAGCATCCTGTTAATAAGAAAAATAAAATATTTCCCTCCTAGAGCAAATCCTTTTTGAGATTTTTGAGATCAAAACCCAACTTTGATTTAAACTGTCGAGGAGTTAAATGTGATACAACACACTCTGGAACTTCATTCACGGCAGTGCAGTGTTCATGGGAAGATGCAGCACAGCAGGACACATAACACACTAATCAATATTAAAGTAATCAAAAAGTATGCAACAGACATCTTGGGCAGCTATGAGCCAAAATCTTTTTAATAAGATTTAGTGGGTTCTTTTTGTTTGATTTATTTTGGTTGGTTGTGGGCTTTTTTAGACTAACTTTGGAAATGTACAACCTTACAGCCTGACATCTTTGGGAGCTGATATAAAAACTGCCATGTGAATCTGGATCTAAGTTTTGTTCTGTGGAAAAGCTTAGGAAGTGAAGGAATTTGAATGAGAGACGTGGGCGGTGGCAAAAACAAAACAAGCAAAAAAAGCCCATTGCAGGCATAAATGTGCTGCACCTAACACTGCTGTCACCCCTTTTCCAGGTGACCCTTCCCAGAGCTGTGATGATTGCCATTCCCTTGGTTACGTGCCTGTATTTGCTGGTGAACGTGAGCTACTTAGCAGCCATGACTCCCTCTGAACTGCTGTCTTCAGGAGCTGTGGCCGTCACTTGGGGGTGAGCTCTGCGTGTGGCAACACAACCAACGCAGCCCAGTGAAATATTGATTCTCTCCTGAGTTTCAGGAGATTTAGGTCTATTCCCCAAAGAAGTGGTAGCACTTCAATGGTCAGGCCAGGAACATCAGTCAGGCCAGGTTTATAGGGAAGACAATGAAGAGGAAAGATGATGAGAAGGCTGGAGCACCTCTCCTTTGAAGACAGGCTGAGAGCTGGGGTTGTTCAGCGTGGAGAAGTCAAGACACTGGTGAGACTTTATAGCACCTTCCAGTACCTACAGGGGCTACAAGAGAGCTGGAGAGTGACTTTTCACAAGGGCCTGTAGTGATAGGACAAGAGGAATGGCTTTAAGCTGACAGAGGGTAGATTTAGATTGGTTATAAGGAAGAAATTCTTTACTGTGAGGGTGGTGAGACACTGGAACAGGTTGCCCAAAGACGATGTGGATGCCCCATCCCTGAAAGTGTTCAAGGCCAGTTTGGATGGGGCTTTGTGCAACCTGGTCTAGTAGGAGGTGTCCCTGCCCATGGCAGGGGGGTTGGAACTGGATGATCTGTTAGGTCCTTTCCAACCTAAACCATTCTATGAGTTTATGATTCTATGAGTTTATGATTCTATGAGTTTATGGTTCTATGAAGCAGGCTGCGTGTCCCAGCTCTGTCAACTACAGAGCAATGTATGGCCTTCCCCCACCGAAGGCCAAGGCTGACCAGCCCCATCTGGCCATGCTCTTCAAGGCATCAAGGCTGCCAAGATGGCACACCCCTTACTCCTTGTTCCCATTTATTCACACTGGAAACCTGTGGCTCCCATCCAGCTTATGTTTCATCCTGTGGGATGTGTCCATAAAGAAGAGCTGAAGGGCATACCAGGAGCATCTCCCTATAGGCACTGGGAATGCAGTGATGGCACATATCCAGACCTGAGGACTGGTAGATGCTCCACATTTTAGGTATCTCCATAGAAATGGAGAGGGCAATGTGCTGCCCCGCTAATGCAGAGGCAGTGGGTTGGGAGTGAGATAGGAGCCAACTGGGTGAATCCTGTCCACTTGGCACCTGGAAATTAAAGCAGAGCAGAGTCTTTTGGTTCAGTTTCTCCATATGTGGGGAAATAGAAAATGACACAGATCTCTACACCACCTTTGGGAAGTGTTACACACGGCTCGGGTAATCTTTGGTAACTGTAACTTTAATGGGTTTGTGCTCTGCCAGAGCTGCACAGAAACTGTATCTTCCATCAACCTGAAGCGTTTGGTGATATCAAACAGTCTGCATGCAAGACAAGGAATTTAGGAAGAGAAGGAAGGGACCATCATGAGAGATGTAGGCATCATCAATGATCTTTCACCAGAACATCCAGCCTTAGTCTAAATATTTCCAAAGACACAGAATTTCTGATAGGCCTAAATGAGTTGTCTGGCAGAAGTGATGACATGGTATATCCACAGATTATGTTGCTGCTCATCCTCTTCCTAAAAAGTCAGCAGCAGCAGCTTTGCTTCTGTGTGCTTTTCACAAGGTTTCCAACTTGAAGATCTGACTGGGCTCTTGCTGGATGTGTTCTCTAATAGCCTTTCATGTCATTATAAATAGGAGCTTTTAAAGATCTAGTGCTTTGTTTGAGCATGTTGCAAAGCCTCACTAAGCTGCAGTGTCATGAACTTTCGCTGCACTTCCTTTCCCATCATTCCTGATTAACAAGTTATTTGTGAGCTTCCTCCTTTTTAACACATCTCCTTTTCCTGCCTGATTAACCTTTTCACCCAAGAGCACAATTCAGGAAGAAATATTGAACTAGCAACCTCAAAAGCCTGGAGGACAGGTAGGTAGCCAGATGCTGAGGAGAGGCTAATGGCCGTGGCTCAAGCAAGAGATGCAGCTATTCAGGCCATTAACAAAGCATGGGAGGAGTATAAAGAAGCCAGACTTGTCACATTTAAATGCATTTATTCCCCATATAAGAAGAAAACTGCCAGAGAGAAACATTGTTCTGTGGTGAGAGGTGCAGCCACAGGAGGAGCTCAGGAAACTCTCTGCAGCATTTCTTTGATGACAGTGATTTAACAGTAACTGCAGGTCTCAGTTTGCTTGTAAGAAGCTGCTTGCAGTAGCCCCTGTACTTCATTTCCAGGGTCAAAACAGTAAAGAACCAATCTCATAAATGCGAAGTACACAATTGCTAAAGATTTCATTATTAATTTTGTGATGTATGTTGTTTTCCCTTGATATCTTGTGGTTATGGAATTGCATGATTATAGGAGATGGCCAGATTCCGTCATTTAAAAAGGGAAAAATTTTAGTTCTGTTTGTTGCAAGTATTAAGTATTAAGTATTCAAGCTTAATAACTTGAAGCCCAAAGGAGCATAATCCAGATATTAAGTTTCTAAGCTACATTTTTAAAATTATTGTGGTAGATAAGCTCCTGCTATGATTTTGGAAGGCTGAGATCTTGATTTTTTCAACATCTGAGAGAGCTGATACTAAAAAAGAGTACTGATGGCTCAAAGACATACAGTTCAATGGAAATATAAAGTGCTCTAAAAAACTTTTGAGTTTTGGATTTTTGCCAGTTAGATGAACAGTGAGTTTGTTTGTGTATGTGTATATACACGTATGTGATAATTACCCCAAACACCAACATTTATTACTCAATTAATACTCTTCATGCTGCTTCATTCCAGATGACAATCTTCACTTTCAGGTGAGAAGATTATCATATCTTCCATATGTTTACCTTGAACTCTCTACCCCTGCTACTTCTTCTGTTACGGAGAAAGCAAACCACAAATGTCTGAACATGTAGAAACAAACTTCTGGAATTCAAACCATTGCTTTGGCTTAAGTCTGATTCACAGAGTAGCAGAAATAGGTACATATAGGATTAAAGGATTAAATTCTTATGCATATTGGGGAAGAGGTTATAATGCAGAATATTTCTTCTGGTGTGATGGGAACAGTTTTCCTGTGATTTCCAAGCTAATGTTGTTGGCTGTGATAGCAGTATCTCCAGGCTTTTTGCCACAGCATCAGTACATAAAAATGGGGGGTTTCCTCTTATGACAGCTTTGTACCCCATTGCACTGTGGACAGATGTAGATATATACACACCAGACACGAAGAAAAGCTGTCTTTCCTGGACAAGACAAACTTATTAGTCACTAAATACTATAGGAACTGGAAGAAGATTTAAAATCATTTTAAAAGACTTCAAAAAAAATTTCAGTAAGTGTAACTGAGGGAAGAAAACTGGTTCTACGGTGAATATTTGATACAACTACGAAGTGTATCTTATGCTGCGAACTCTTTCCCACCTCAGAGACAAAGTCCTGGGCAGCTGGGCATGGCTCATGTCCCTGTCGGTGGCACTGTCCACGTTTGGTTCGTCGAACGGCACGTTCTTCAGCGGAGGCCGCGTGTGCTACATCGCTGCGAGGGAAGGCCACATGGTAAGCACAAAATAAAGGGGTCTGCCTTGCTTTGAGCAGCTTTACCTTCTTGTGACACTAAAGCAGAGTGGAAAACACTGTGTTTGTTCAGCTGTCAGAGTGATAGCTCTTCAGGGGTTCCTTGCTCAAAGACTTTAACCCCCATCTTTTTCAAATGTAATGTATATGTTGTCTCTGGGCTTTCTGCTCCACTCAAGTGCTTTCAAAAAGACACATATTCACATCTAGCCTGAATTTTAAGAACAGCTTTGAAATGAAACACTGAAATACTGCTGCGTTGGAGGACGGGGCACAGGCTGGGGGCGACTTAGCCAATGTACTTGTGAGGAGAGGGAACCTGGCCATGCTTGTGTGTTGCAAGGCACCCTTGCTTGCACTGGGAAGGAAGCCCAGCTGCCTTTGCATGCTATACTGACTACATGGGCTGGTCTCAGGGATGTTTCAGCCTTCTCGTGGGTAGGCCAGCTCCAATGCAACACAGGATATCTGCTCTTCAAGCTTCATAGCAATTATGAGGTGACACCAAGCCTTACATCTCCCCTATCTGGGGTTTATCATTGGTTTTGTTAGGTGGGGCCAAATCTGGTAGCCCAGTAGAGATGAGGCTGCTGTGGCTCCCTCCTCCCTGGTCCAGCCAGTAATTTCAGCATGTATTCCCAGGAGGCACACACACACAAACACAGGTATAAAACCTATATATGTACACACATACACACACCCAGACAGCAGGGCACATGTACAGACACACAACACTCACACAAACACTAACAGCGCCGAGAGCCCCATCTTGTTCCCCTCTCTGGCTGTTTAGGGGTCTGTTAGGGGGAAATATATATAGAAACATTTGTACAATATGGTCCCTCCAGCAGTTGGGCTCAGACATTCAATTTGCCCAGTAGCTGCCCTTGCATCCCAGTCTCCCAGCTGCTGGTACCTGGGCATACAAGCCCCTGAGATTGCTGCCCCATTCCAGCTGCTGATATGGACCCCCTCACTCACAGGTACACCACCTACAACTACCAACACACTTCTCCAAAAAGAGGAGAAAAAAGACTGAGTTCCATTTGTCCTCCTCTGTTTTGAGCAGGCATATTGTGTTCCTCCAGGACCTCTCTGTTTTTTTGGTCCTTCCTACCCTCATCATCTGGCATTTCTGTTTTCAGGTGCAAAGGTATTGGAATAGGTTGCCCAGAGATGCTTGGATGCCCCATCCCTCGAAGTGCTCAAGGCCAGGTTGGATGGGGCTCTGAGCTACCTGGTGAAAAGTGTCTGCCCATGGCAGGGGGCTTGGAATTAGATGGCCTTTAAGGTCTCTTCCAACCCAAACCATTCCATAGGTCTGTGATTCCACACCAGCTCCACTCCTGGTTCATAGCAGGGAATCTTTTATGTATATGAATGACCAGGTTGGTGGAGATGACTGGACTGGTGGTTACTGGTTTCAGTGGTTACTGGTTTCGGTGGTTGCTGGTTCTACAGCTTCTCTCACTGAGGACAGTGCCTGCTATATCACGGCAAGCTCTGTGCTAAGCAGTTCACATTTGACCATACCAGGCTAAGAGATGAATGCTTATGCCATTTCTCAGGCACTCAGCTCTAGCAGAAGTTGTTGCATGATATTTTAGTTAGGAATTAAAAATTAAATATAAAAAAGAAAAGAAAACAGCCTTTCTCATTAAACTTTCCAATGAAACAAACAATAAAGAGGCTACTAGTCCTCTTAGTGTTCTGAAACAAAACCTAATCTAAATTGAAGTTAGTTACATAAATGTTTCAGGAGTAGTCCTTGTCTTATTTTCCAGTCATCCCAAGAGAAGTCAAATCCCAGAGAGACATGGCAGGGGGCAGAAGAGTGGGACCATGCACAAGGTTCTGATGAGGGCCAGGAAAGCTCTAATTTGACTCAGCCTTAGTCTGTCATATCGGTAGTTTGAAAACCTTGTTTTGCCTCCCCAAACTGAGCATATTTCATATGAAATCAGTGAGACACAATAAAAATACCCTCGAGGGAGATTTCCATGTTTACACTCCTTGGAGCTGAATTGCTTTTATATGATGCTTATTTGCTGGTTACAAGTGGCTCTGGCTGCGGGCAGAGCTCCCACCAGCGGCTGAGGGGATGAGTAAGGACCTCTGAGTACATGATATGATGATACACAGTTTTGCTTTGTCTTTCAGCCAGACATTCTGTCTATGGCTCATGTGCGACGCCTCACACCCTCCCCTGCACTCATGTTTACATCTGTGATGTCTTTAATAATGATAATATCAGGAAACTTCACCAGTATCGTGAACTTTTTCAGGTATGTGTGTGTAACGTTTCTGTTTGCATCCCCTGTGCTCCTGGGTTTTATATTGTTTTATGAATATTTTCTTTCAATATTTTTTTAAGCCTGGGCTGTTACTTTCTAACCAATACTGGGGAGAGGAGGAGGAAAGAAAGAAAAGAAAGAGCTTGGGAACCAGCATTTTTGCAATGCATGAGTGCTTCTGTCACTATAGACTTAACTGGATGTGATTCATCCTCGTATTGAAATGAATCTGTAATATTCAGATAATTCCAAAGTTCTCGTTGTTTATGTTGCAAAGGAAATGAATGCAAGAACTACTAAATTTATATCAATATTCTCCTTTTTAACTGGAGGCATGAACATCTGGGATCTGCAAGGCAGGCCTGACATTCCTGGATGATCTCACCCCAGATGTAACGCTGTCTATTTTTTCTTTTTATTCCAGTTTTATAGCATGGCTTTTCTATGGCATGACTATTTCTGGGCTCCTGTATTTAAAAATCAAGAAACCAGAACTGCCAAGATCTTACAAGGTGAAGTAATAACATAAACCCCTCAACCCCTTTTCCTATATTGCCCAAATAACTAAGAAAACATTATGAGAAAAGAACGAGCACTGGTTGCTTACAGATTTAATGTGGTTGTACTTTTTTTTTTTATTTTCAAGTTCTGTCTCAGCAAAGGCACCAAGAGGGGTGAGGTGGTGTGGATATACAGGCATAAGTCAAGGCTGAATTCTCAGTTTTGATAAGTTAATAATGCACTGCCCCCTCGCTATGGAAAATATGTCTACCATATCCTCTTTTTTTCTAAAAGATTTAAAAGGTAAATGAAGGATGATTTTGATAACAATGCAACCACCTGCTTATGCTCTCAGACTCTGGTCACACTCCTCAGAGGGTAGTCCAGGTGTAAGAGTCTTGCAGAGAAAAAATAACTCAGCTAGAATGCTCCAAGTCCTTTGAGATGGCCAGGGGGCCGGTTTGTTCCCCACAAAACAGAGGAAGGAGATCAGGAGTTACGTGTTTTGCCCTCTGATGCCATGAGCGGGCTGAGCTGCAGTGCTTCCTCAGTGACTGAGGGAACTATCTTTACAGAAAAGATCCCAGGAACATAGGATCCATGAGACCACGAAGGAAAGACAGTGACTTTTCCCTGAGTTGAACAAACATCCTGGTTACTATGAGGTTCCTCCAGGAACTAGAGGACAGGCTGTGCAAAGCAATATTGAGTGTCCTTTAGGGTTTAGCACAAAGAGCAGCAGCGCTCCATTAGGCCTTCCAGTCACTGGCTTCTGCTGCTCTGTCCTGAAATTAGGATGCTGGATAAGGATGTTCACCCAACTTGTCTGAATGGGCTTTAAGAAGTTCTGTTTCTGCAGTAGTGTTTCATACACTGCATAGAACTCCCACAGGTCTCCCAGCCAATCCATCAAAGATGTCAGCCTGCTCAGCCTTTGGCTTGATGACCTGACTCTTTTCTTAACTAGAAGCAGCTGATGTCTGAAGGTTTCAGGTCAACTAACAATGTATGGCTGATGTCAACTGACAGTGTATAGCTGATGTCCTGCAGAATCTGTGCATCTGTTGATGGTTTATATTTAGAGGAAAGATTTCCTTGGTTTGAAAGCAGTAATTTTTCTTAGACTTTGAGGGAGGGTGGCTTCAAATTCAAGTTTAAATGCTTTCTGACTAGGCTTACAGAGATTGCCTCTGAATTACATGAGTCTTTACACTGATTGTTTTGCTTTCACAGGTACCAATTATCATTCCCATAATTGTGCTGATGGCAGCTGTGTACCTGGTGTTAGCTCCCATCATTGATCAACCCCAAATCGAGATCCTCTACATCATCGCCTTCATTTTCAGTGGCATCATTCTTTATTTCCCACTGGTTCGCTTCAAGTGCCACCCTCGCTTTTTGCAGACCGTCACCTTACACCTCCAGTTGTTCCTGGAAGTTGCCCCAACCACTAAGGATACAAACTGAGATAACATCCTCCAGTCGCATGGAGGACGTTGCCTGCACCTCATGTTTTATCCTGGCACCTTGGTTTTCAAGACTCAGAAAATATTCTTCTGTAAAGACGAATGAATAGAATGAATGTGACATTGAAGTGTCCAGGCGAGATGGACTAGAGCTGACTCCTCAGGTTTCCTCAAAATTCTGGGGAGGTGTTTTTCTCCTTTTCGTATATTTTCCATCCTAAGAGGGCCTGTTCATCAAAATCTCAGATCTTATATTTCAAGCTAAAAGACAACAAAAGGCAGACAATGAAATATTATTCCTATAGCAGGCTGGGACCCTAAGCCATTCCTGGCAATGCCTTTAATTATTTCCATCTAGTTCTGCCCACTGTGACCACATAGTTTCTCAAATCAATAATGCATGGGCTCACCATGGTCACAACAAAAAAAAAACCCTTTTTCACTCAGGTATTTGCTCTGGGAAGACCTTGCTTCTTCCAGTCCTAGGTGCACAGTCACAACAGTCCTTTCTCTGTCCCAAATCATCCTATATCTCCTGTAGAAAAACCTCTAATGTGACACAAAAAGTACTTTAAAGTTCTGTCAGTTTACTCGGTTGAGAATGCACTTGTCATATGGGATCCATCCACTCATGGTGAGGACACAAGTGACATCACTCAAGTACCAACAGTCACCCAGTATTCTTCCTGTAATTCCCCTGAAGACAAATAACTTACCTTGTAACAAAGTAAACAACAGACAAACAGAAAACCCCCTAGAGCACATGTGCCAGCAAGGCACTCTTATTGGGAATTAAAGAAACCACATACATTAGGAGAAGTGTGGCCAGCAAATCAAGGAAATACTCTGTCCCTCTGAAATCATGCATGCAGTGTTGGGCTTTGCTGTTCAGCTGGAGCTGTGAAGGCCCCAGGGTCAGGCTCTTCTTGGTAGTGGCAACTAAGTGCAACAGCCACAAGTTGTGGCTTGAGTTGTTCAGGCCGGACTTAAGGAAAATTTTGTCACCACGAGGGCAGTGCAACCTTGGAGCAGTGTGCATAAAGGTGGTGAGATCTCAGTTCTCTTATATTTTCCACCACAGCCACTTCCACAAAACTCTTTGATTCTAAAGGCACAGCACAAAAGTCATGGGCTATGCTCTCTCCCAGACCTGACAAACTGAAGCCTCTGTTGTTTCCCATTACCTGAGCCTCAACCATTTTTCTCCTGTTCTAGGGGAGAGATATTACATGCTGTTTTCTTCCAATTTGTCCAGATTGTTTCAGGATAAGATCTGTCCTGTCATAGACTAAAACGGTCTAGGAGTTAGTCCCTAAAATGCCTAGTTATATCATAAAGTACTGAAAGTTATTGAGGTCAACTTCCTGTCAGCATTCTTCTACCAATGTGTACCTAACTGCTGCTGTGATCTTGGAACAGGGCCACTTGATCCTTCAGGCCTCTTCCCAGGCCCATCTCAGAACTGTGTATCTGATTACAATCTCATTCTGCAATGCCACCCCTTCTGTTCCTCTGAGTGGTGATACCAGCAGCTACAGGGATGCAACAACAGTTGTTTTTCCAGGTGTTAGGTATGATAATGGGATAGGCCAGTTGCCACTCATGCAAATCCTCAGCTTAAACAGTGTTTAGGAGGATTTCCTTCTGATTTTTACTGGCATTGTCAACAAAGGCGAATGAAGGAACAGTGTTCCCTCCTGAATCCTATGACAATGCAAAATTCTTGGGATGCCTCTCTTAAAGGACAGTATGTACTTAAAAGCACTGATGAGCTCAGGAGGTCTAGGTTGCCTTTCCACCACTACTCCAGGCTCTTCATCTGATGTCAGGCAAGCTTCTTAATGGAACTGCATGTCAGCCACTTATCTAAAAATTAGAATAATATTATTTCTCTGATCATAATTTTTTGGAAACCACCTCTGTTTCCTTCACCTGTTTTATGGAGCACAGGGTTGTGCTCTTCTGAACTGGAGACTAGTAACAAGTGGTCCCTTCCAACCCAAACCATTCTATGATTCCACCTACAGTGCGTATCTAAAAAGTGAGATTTTAAAAGCTTATTCAAGGGTTAGACATGCACTTAGTTGGGGCTTTAGCCACCTATCCTTGTGTCCCAAGTACAATCAGAGTTGGCATTGCCTGCATGCAATTCCTGTGGAACAGGAGTTATTCTCACTGTTTGATATTATGGGTGTAGTGCACTATAGATGATGGGAAGATGGAAGGATTAAGTGGATTGCTCAGTCATACAGGAAATGTGTGGAAAATATGACTGTTTCCCCAAGGTCTAGTCAAGCATGTTACCACTTAGCCCATCCTTTCTCCCTGTGCACGTGTGACATATGAACACTGATAAAGAACACAAAAAAACTTACCCCTTTAGATAAATAGCCTTTATATGTTATTGGTGTATGGACATAGGAAGCTGGAAAGCTGCAAGTATCATATATTGCACCAATCTCATTTTCCGTAGATATTACTGTAACAAGATGTTCTTTTTATTTGTGTTGCCTAGGATTTGCAAGCACAGGTGTTTATAATGCCAAAACAAGATGCTGAAAGCTCAGAGAATTGCAAGATAATTACAATAAAATGGGCATTACAATGAAGTGAGTTAATGTGGCTGTTTCTGTTTTTCATCCAAGAAAAACAATTCTGTAGAAATTTTACTGCATGATCATAAACAATCAGCATCAGGCTTATCTCTCCTTGGTCAGAAGGTTTAACTACGTGCATGGGCACTTATATGTGCGTAGACTCATTTTTCAAGATGATTGCTTATCTATTCAACCCCAGCATATGCAAATCAGAGTCTCTTTTTCCTCCATCAGACACTTACAATAGAAGTGTCAGGAAGAGGCAGCATGCCCTTACCATTCATTACTGCAACACAGTGACAACGTGATGGCGGACAGAGCTCTGCATCTGCTGCTTGTACGGGTGGTACTGTAAGATCCTGTTGGTTCTGTCTGTCTCCAAAGCTCCAGATCCCTGTGACCAGTACTTAACCCCTTTCTTCGTGGGCTCAGAGGAAAGCTGGACTATCAGCATTGCCCTCAAGATAATCATAAGGTCGATACTTCACCTCAAGATCCCGAGTATAATTGAATCCCATCCTCCAGCTGGCAACTTGCAACAACCAGTCAGGAGTTGATGCACAGAGCTGAATGTATTCTGGGCCTTTTCTGACCTCCTCAGAAGCATCAGAGATGGGCTGCACCTGGGGACAGTCAAAGATGGTTCGGTGCATGAGAGGGTACAGAAAGTCTTTGGTGGTTTTCTGGTAAGCCTTGCTCCTATGCCCAAGTTCAAGTGCCATAATTTGTGGTTGAGGAGAAATTTCCCCTTGGGTGGGACAGGGCTGAATTCATAATGGCTTTAATCTTCCTCTGTTGCAGAAACAGTTCACCCACTTAGATTGGCTGGATTTATCTGATCAGTTCTCAGCCAGTGCAGAGGGTTTAGTGTTCAGTCTCTCCTGCTCTTTCTTGGGACATAGGGAGTAAGCAAGGCCTCCCTGCTTGGAGCAGGACTATTATCATGCTAGATTAGGTCACCTGTGACTGTCTCCTCATGTTTTGGAAAGCACTGAGGATAGAGAGCCTGCCATCTCTCTGCACTGCTCTCCTGATAAACAAATTTTCCTGAAGCTCAATCTGAACATTTCAAGCTGCAGTTTGTGACTGTTGCCCTTCCCTCTGTCATCTGCCACTGCCAAAGGGGTTGGTTTAATCCTTTTTGTAGGTCTTCTTCATGGAGCTGCTGCGGCTTCATGGTTGCTGTTACGTTGCTTCTTCTCCTTCTTTTTGCCAGACTCAGCAAGCCCAACTCAACAATCTTCTTCATGGAGCTCTCTGCTGGACCCTCCCTAGTTCCTCCGCTTTCCTTTTGAACTGGGGAGGGATCCGAAAACTGGATGCAACATTCCAAGTGTGTCCTCACAGGTGTCAGGTCTACAGAGACACACTAACATCCCTCAGTCTGCTGACTGTACCCCTCCCAGCATAGGCCACTATTTGTAACCCCAGCTCCTTTCAGCCAGTCTGTCACTTCTAAGAGCTTCAGCTGGCTCAGTTGAAGGCAATGGCAAACCCTTATTTTATACAGTTGATGCTCCTATTAGAAACTTTGGCTAGGCTCTGATAAATCTAGCATCAGGATAACTCAGTCCAGCAGTGAAGAGAGATCTATATCTTGCACTTTACCATTTATTGACTAGTTAGTTGGATTCCATCAGGGGCTTTGTGTATGTGACTCATTCCTCTTGAAGGAGTTATTTTTGCTAAAAAAGGATGAAAACCCAGGGTCATACAATAAATGGGTGGTCTTAGATTTGTGAACTATCAGTGAGACTAATGGGTAGTGAAATAGCCCATCTGTTTTTAGAATCAAGCTACCATGTCAGATTTGTCCTCAGAGACAGTGAACCCTATGGCTTGAGTGTCTGGCAGATAAATGATCATCTTCTCCTTCTAAAGGTTGGTCATTAGTTCTTACTGTTTAATTTCATGGACTATGCCCTGGTTTCCATGCAGTGAGATGACAGGCAAAGGGAGAGCTGAGAACAGGGAAAGTAGATTGAGAAAGAATTCCTGTTTGTGCAAGTCTTGTGTGTCTGAATTACGTATGTAAAATACAGACATGGACAACACCTAAACAGCAAAGACATGTGCCCAGAAGTTCTGAAATGCCAGAATAAAATTTCTTAGCAGTGATTCCTTTCCTTTCTGTTTGTACATTCTGGGGTTATTCCTTAGTTCACCATCTATTTTTACCACAGTGTATCTGTGTCATTAACAAAGCAGAGCAACAGTCCAGTATTCTCCCCCACCTCACTACAACTTCTCTCAGGTAACTGCAGAGAGCAATGAGGTCTCCCCTAAGCCCAGCAAGTCCCCTGGTATGGTCTCCTCAAGACAGGTGAGATGGTCCTGGGAACAGAGGGCCAGGGAAGTGACATTGCAGCAAACAGAGGTGCTGGCAGGTGTCTGTGGCAGGCGGGTGATGAAGAGCTTGGCAGCATCAGCCTCTCCCTCTCCTGTGACAGGGCAGGATGAACAGCTGAGCTGCCCTCAGGTGTGCAGCTGAGGCCGAGGAAGGCGTCTTTTGTACCCAAGGAGTTGTTTCACTGTGCTGCCATGGGCAGCTGCATGCAGCCTCTGCCCACCCAGTCACCCTATGGTACCACCCTCCAGCTTCATCCACTGACATCACAGAAAAGTCCATTCTGGGGCAGGGGAATAAAATCAATAAGCTTTGGTCGTGGTCAGACAGATGCCAGCTCTGCAGCAAGGGAGAAGGCAGTCCTGTGGCTGGAAGTGAAATGTAGAAAGGGAGTGAGTCCTGCCCTCTGCAGCAGTAGCCCCCTGGTCCCTGTGTCTGCCTGTCCTGTGACCTGTGACCAGCACCCACCAGAGCCGCTCTCTGAACAGCACCAGGGACTCTCCTCTTGGGCTGCAGCAACCCCTCCTGCCCTGGGACAGGGGATTCTCCCAAGGGCCATGGCTTTTTTTGCTTAAAGTAGTAGTGGTTAGAAATGAAGGCAGCTTATCAGGCTGAAATCAGCACGAGTCCTTGTAAATTCAGGCAAATTCATGAAAACTGAATTATTCATGTCTGTGTTCAAAACATATCCATCCCCCTGCCATGTTGGAAATCCAGATGAAATGCTTTCGTGCTGGAGTTGGATACCCCCAGAGGTACTTTTGTAGTGCATTTTAAAAACCTGGCTCTTTGTCTTGTCTTGAGATCAAAGCTTGTTAGGAAGCAGGAGCTGCCTTGCAGAGCAGGCAGGACCTTGCCCAGCTGAGCTCAGGGCTTGCTGGAAACCCAGAGAGTAAAACTCAAAGCTCAAGTTGTGTAACTGAGCACAAAGTGAATCTGATTTTTTCATTTCATTGTCCCAGGTGAGTGCAAGGAGATAAACACATGGGATAATGGTGAAGGGTCAGTTAAACTTCTTTCTTCTGTAGCTTAGAGCTTTAGTTAAAGAAAGTTAGCATTTATTTATGATATGTTAGTCCCTAACACAGAGAAGTTGTAGCTGTGAGTTAGGACCTGCATTTTGCTAGGTGCTATATATATGCAGAAGCCCCCTCAAAAATGAAACCATTTGCCAGAGACCATACTCATGACACGTCAGCAGCCACAGAGATGTTTTGTATTGCTTCATGCAGAAATGGAGATATCGGGTCCCTATCATAAAGCTTGCAAAGCAAAGAATACACGTAAAGCACTATACTTGCTCTAGTTCGTAAGAGAGTATAGAAAATAAAGTCCAGAAAGGGCAAAAACTTTGGCTATTGGGTCTGACAATGTCGTGGGTGGATATAGTGAGACTCATAAAAGGCATCAGTGATAGCTAATTAATTTCCTAGAAGCGCTTTGAATATTAGCAGGTTCCTTCAACCTGGTAAATGACGTTGTCTCTTTCTTACTACTCAGAGCAGCAAATTCTCCAGGGTTGTGTTGCATTATCTGGCTTTTCTCAAGCCAGCGTCCTGGGACCCATGTTGCCCCTGGGATACTGAACATCCTTCCTGTGGGAGGATCCCCACCATCCAGGACACTATCTTAGCATTTTGTGTGGATGGCTTTGGCTTAGGCTGGCTGGGGGGTGTAAGGGAGGAAAAGGCACAACCACCAGTAAAGCAAGAAAATCAAACCTGATATAAAACCTGCATTATTTTAACTACAAAGCCTTAAAACTACCCGCCTTCTGCTGCAGCAGTGCCATACTGGGGGCAGACACGGCCAAACTGCCCCTCACCTCCTGCTGAGTTTCTCCTGAAGGCCAGTGCAGCTCCCTCTGCGGGACACACACTCTGAACTTCTTCCAACAAGTAAATTTCAGCTTCTGGTCACATCCCAGACTTTAGTCTATGAAAACACAGCCAGATCCAGCTCCTGTCTCTCCTGGTCACGGGAGCTTTCAAACAGTCTGATGCATCTCCACAGATGACAGACAGCAAATGGGATCCAGATGTGTCTTCCAGCACAAAGCTTTTCTTTTGGAAGAAATTTTCCCAGATCATTCCCCAGATTTTGCTGTTGGGGTTTCTCTAATAGTGTACAGCCATCTGGCTTCCCTCCAGCTCCTGGTCATCAGCATCGGCTTCCCAGGGGGAGAAGGCATAGTCAAAACACTTCCTGCTCCTTTCCATTGCCGCAGTCTGCTGTCCGTCCATCCCCTGTGCGAAGGGGGTGAGCACCCTGAGCTGCCCTTAACACCCCACCCCACTTCAGAAAGGCAACCATATCCTGGGCTGCATCCAAAGCAGAGTGGCCAGCAGGTCCAGGGATTCTGCCCCTCTACTCTGCTCTTGTGAGATCCAGCTGCAGTACTGTGTGCAGCTCTGGGGTTTCCAGCACAGGAGGAACAGTGACCTTTTGGAGCAAGACCAGAAGGGGCTACAAAGATAATCAGAGGGCTGGAGCACCTCTCCTAGGAAGACAGGCTGACAGAGTTGGGGTTGCTTAGCCTGTAGAAAAGAAGGTTCCGGAGAGATCTTATAGCACCTTCCACTACCTAAAGGGTACTGGAAGATGAGGACAAACTTAGTAGAAGACAAGGGGCAATGGTTTTAAACTGAAAGAGGGTAGATTCAGACTAGCTGTGAGGAGGAAAGTTATTACTATGAGAGTGGTGAGAAACAAGGGCACAGTTTGCCTAGTGGATGGTAGATGCCCCATCCCAGGAAACATTCAAGGTCAGGTAGGATGGAGCTCTGAGCAACCTGATCTAGTTGAAGGTGTCCCTGCTCATTGCAGGGGGCTGGACAAGATGAACTTTAAAGACCCCTTCCAGCCCAAACTACTCTGATTCCATGAATCTTCCTGTGTGTGGGGCAGCACACAGCCTGCCTGTTGAAAAAACAACAGGGCACTGAAGT